ATATATAATTAGATATAAAAACAAATCATGTAATTTATTGCTTATATTTTTTGGTATACATGCAAAAATTTCTTTACTTACATCTTTTATTTATGTTTGTATGATTTCTATGTGAATACACATGTATATATGTATAGGTTTTATATGCATACAATGTGACTGCATGTTAGAATGTTCGATTAAAAACTAATGTTGCAAGAATAAATAGAAAAAAAGCAATAAATTAAATATTTTATATTAGCAGAGAAAGTGTATGATATATAATATTATCAAAGACTTCTAGATATTTTTATTTTTTATTCTTTACACAGTTCAATTTTCTAATATTTAATTTGATAAAGTAGTATTTTCAGATAACGTCATTATATTATAAGACATCGGAGTTTATGATTGAATCTATATTTAACGACTGCACTCGATGAAGGGTTGTTGTATGGGAAGGATATAGATTGCAATCTGAATAATAAAACTTATCGCATATGAAGGGGGAAGTTGTACGAGTGTATTATTGTGGGACGATCGCGAGATTATAGACATTCTATGATTGTCAGTCTTTTTCAAGATTTCTTCATAACATTTTTCAGAAAAATATTTTTATTATTCTATTCTATCAGAGTTTGTGTGAGTGAAGAAAATTGCCGATTGAGGTATAATTTAACTCTATCGGCTCATTGTCATATGCATAAATTTTAAAGTGTATAATTATTGTATTATACAATATTGTGAATTTTACATTTAATTATTTAAAAGAAGGAAATTAGAAAAAATTGTAATCTCTGAAACACACACAATGATTCATGATTAATGTCTTTTCTGGAGAACAGATATCGATAACCTCGACAGAGAAGTAAATTAAAAATTAAATATGCACGTGTTAGATTTTACGTTTAAGATATTAATGATTTGCGGATGCTGGATACCGGATTCCTGGACAACACCGTACAAACGATTAGTTTATCATGTGTACACTATTTTTATAATTCTACTAATATACACGTTTATGCTATCGCAATTGATGGATTTAATTTTAAACGTGGACAATGCCGATGATTTTACCGATAATTTCTACATGCTTCTCGCCATGATCGTCTCGTGCTGTAAGATGTTTACCTTGCTGATGAACCGCAGTAATATCGTGATGTTAATCGATATCCTTGTAAGGAAACCATGTAGACCGGATCAGTCTGACGAAATCAAGATTCAGCAGAAATTCGATAGACTTATACAGTGAGTACAAATAGCATATTTATATGAGATTTAATTAATATGTGTAATATATAAAGCTACAATAATTCATGATAAATGATAATATTTATGACTTCAAAAATGTGATTTTTTTATTATAAATAAATTAATATATTTTAAAAATTGATTGATGCTACTTTAAATTCTCTTATAACAAGCATTCAATTGAAGAATGATATAAGTCGCAAAGCTAACGTCGAAGCAAAAGTTGAATAAAAATTGAAACAGGAAAATCTCTACAGTCATCTTACAGGACAAACACACTTTACTATGCAATCCTGGTGGAGACAACGTGTGTATGCATTGCCGTGACATCATTGCTGACAGAATTCAGTAAAGGAAGATTGACATTCAGAGCATGGTTACCATTCAACTATACGTCGCCGTCACTGTTTCGCATTGTATACATACACCAGCTGATAGGTTTAACGGCCGGGTCTGTTCTTCATGTAGCTTGTGACGGTCTTATATGTGGTCTGCTGGTGCATGTTTGCTGTCAAATTGAAATAATGGAATGCCGTTTGAGAAAAATTGGTCGCAACCGAGATATCCTTCGCAAATCCCTTCTTCAGCACAATACTGTATTCAAGTTGGTGTTTTGCAGCTAATATTACACGTATAAAAATATTTTGCAATTTTTTTGTAATCAATACATTTCATATAACTCTTGTGTTTATATTATTTGAAAGAAGGAAAGAAAGAAAGACCAAGAAAACAGTTTTGATAATACCAAATATAAAAATGCACTCTACATACTTGAGAACTTTAATTACAGAACTTTTGATTAATTTATTTATTCATGACTTTGTCGTACTTTTTTGGATATAATATATTATTCGTACAGTTTTAATTAATAAATTATTATGAATCTTGAAATATTTTAAATATTTTCAAATTTCTAACATTTTATATTTATAATTTCAGACTCGCTGGCTTGGTAAATGAAAAATTTAGATTGACTATCGTCATACAGTTTATTGTGAGTACATTGGTAGTATGCTTTAATCTATATCAATTTACTAAATCGACAGCGTTAAAAGCGAAATATATGCAATTAATTATGTATATGGGTTGCATGCTGTCGCAAATTTTCTTATATTGCTGGTACGGGAACGAAGTTAAGTTGAGGGTCTGTATTTTTGAAACAGGCATATATATGTATCTGTTATTTGTTGTTATTTAAACATGTTATTTAAACATTTAATATGATATACTGTGCATAAATTAAATAAATAATGAAATGTAAATTGTTAAACATAGAGCCGTCAACTGGTCAATAACATATTTGAAATGGAATGGTTTGAACTGGACAATTATACTAAACAATCATTATTAATGATCATGAAACGTGGTACAATACCAATCGAGCTTACCAGTGCCTACGTTATCTCTATGAACCTCGATTCATTTGTGAATGTTAGTATTAAAAATTATATTATGATATAATTAACAATCAAGATCTAAAATAATGTTGTAATGACAAATATATTTTAATTAATTTCTTTTTTAATAAAAAATCACCCAATTAAAAACAGAATTTTATTTATATCAAGAAGGTGTTTAATATATGTACATATTTGACAAAAGAAATTCTCTATTACATATTTTGGATATAAATTTACAACTAAGGATTCGTTTTCAAGTACTTTTTAAAAGCTTTAATATAATATAACTAATAAAAAATCGATTATATATTTTTATCTTATTTTGAATAACATTATTAATAACTTTAATTGCAGTTACTTAAGACATCCTATTCAGCTTATAACATACTTCAGCAAATGTAAAAATTTTAATGCCAGAGACAAAATAAAAAAAAAATTATCGTTCATACTTTGCAATCAGAGCAGTGTGAATTTATATCATGCACATATAAAAAGAAAAAGAGACAGAAGAGGTAAAGAGAGAGAAAGATATTTTTAAAAAAGTTGAAATGAATGTTTATCGTTTTATTGTATATAGACATGGTTTTTGCATTATTATTATTATTATTATTATTTTTTTTTTTTAATATAAAAAGGCATTTAAAGAGAGAAAGTGAAATTTAAATCACTTTACATTACATAATAATGACTATATACAATATCAGAAATTTTATTAATGTTACGATATTTTTACTTACATATTTTGCATGCTAGTTTAGTTATATTCGTATCATTTGAACATTTTTCTGCCGCCCGTTATATACGCATATATACATGTGTTAAATCATGTAGACTAGTAGAATTTATAGTGACCAATACTTGAAAATCAATACTGGAAAGAAAAAACCATCATTCATAGTTCGCTATGAAAATCTTACGCCTATATAAAATAAACATTTTTTAATAAAGTATAAGATATCGACATTAATATTTTAAGAGTAATTACATAGGGCTCGATTTGTGACCAAGAGCTGTTATTTTTTATAACGTGTAATTTCATAAAGCAGAATTCTAGTGAAGCATTATTATGTCGTAATATCGCAATATCAAGTTTGTATTTAGACGATTGCATAAAAATAATACTATCCGAGAAACATAATTATACAATCTGAATAATAAAAGATGTCAAAGAGGGGGAAGTTGGACGTAGTGTATTATTGTATGCCGGAAGATATCGTGAAGCTATAGACATTCCATGGTCAGTTTGCCATTATAAGATTTTATCTAAGTCCATCAAATTGCTTTACAAAAAAAAAACTTTTATTTTCATAATACTACTATTTGATACCGTAATTTCAGAAAATTGTCGTTTGATATAATTTGGCCATCAATTTAAATTATTGAACACAGATTTTTGAAAAATTGATTAAATAATTGTGCTATATTATTAAATGCTTAAAATTTATTATAATTAATTTAAAAAAATATATATATACTTCCAAAAATTTTTAAAAATCTTGAGTGGAGACTGATGTGCATGTATGTATCTGGCATAATTTTTCTCGAAATAAAGGCACAAACAGATAACATCGAGGGAAATCCGTTATAAAAATGCGTATATTGGACTTTACATTAAAAATATTGACGATCTGTGGCTGCGGGCGACCGGAATCCTGGACAACGCCGTACAAACGGTTAGTCTATTACATGTACACAATTTTCATATTGCTACTAATACACACGTTTATGCTATCGCAATTGATGGATCTGATTATAACTGTGGACAATTCCGACGATTTCACCGATAATTTTTACATGCTACTCGCCATGATTGTATCTTGCTGCAAGATGTTTGCTCTGTTGATGAATCGCAACAATATTGAGATGTTAATTAATACTCTTACGAAAAAACCGCTTCAGCCGATTGAATCTGACGAGATGGAAATTCGACAAAAATACGAGAAATTAATACAGTAGGTATCGCGAGCTAATCTTAATTTCTGTTTTATTTATTGTATAATATTCGATGATTTTTGCATGATTCTAATATGTAGTTTAGATTTAGATCAAAATTATCAATCAAAATAATTTTCTTATATTAAGCTATTTTTTTATTTATGCAAGTACATACAATAAGATACAATCCTTTACGAGAAAAAAAAACAACAAAAAACAAACATTAAATGATAATTGAAATGCGAAAATGTCCATAGTTGTTTTACAGATCAAATACGTTTCACTACGTTATTCTGGTAGAGACAACGTGTCTATGCGTTATCGTAACGTCGCTATTGACGGAATTCAAAAAAGGCAAATTGACATTCCGGGCGTGGCTGCCATTCGACTATTCGTCGCCGCTACTATTTCTCTTTGTATACGCTCATCAATTGATAAGTTTTACAGTCGGATCTGTTCATCACGTAGCTTGCGACAGTCTCATATGCGGATTACTAGTGCACATTTGCTGTCAACTAGAGATATTGGAATGTCGTATAAGAAAAGGCACACGTAATCCGAAAATTCTTCGCGATTGTGTTTTTCAGCACAATCATATATTCAAGTTCGTTTCCATAGAACCAACGTTACGAATAAAAATATTTTTTATCTTTTTATATATAATTAAATATTTT